TATGCGAGGCCAGACAGGAAGCACACTGACAGGGTTTTTCTCTCTATACCTATTCCCAAACTGTCTTTCGCTCCAGTCCCCTCCCATCTTCTCAGGATGTCTCAGCATCTACCCCAAACCATCCTTCCTTCACTCCCGCTCTCCCCCAGATAAATTTCCTTCCCAGTCTAAATCCGGCTACTGCAATCTCTACCACTTCCTCGTTCCTCACTCCTCCCTCATACTTTACCTGTTGCACCAGACAATCTGAATGTTTCCACTCCCTCTTCTACCGCGTCCTTTCTTACATCCAGCTCTTCCTTTGGTCCTCAGACATCCATCCCTCCCTCCTCATCCTTGTTTCTCAGACCTCCCGATCCACTGCCCCTCCAGAAACTCAGGAAGACAACCAAAACTTCCCAAACATGACCAAGATAACACTCGGCTCCCTCATCTACTCTCCAAGCCCTCTATTCCCATTCCCATTCGAAGTATTTTGGATGCTCACGTAACTTATGTTGCAACAGGGTCCTTCTCCAGATCCTCCCCTCCTGATATTCTTCCTGATACTTCACTACCTTCCCCTCTTCCATTATCTCATTGCCCAGATTATTCTCCTCCTACTTCGCCAATGCCCATCTCTACCTGTATTGCCCATTGGTTGTTTCATAATGACTCCTTTTGCCAGTTTTCTTTTATATAATAATCTTCTTCCTTCTTCAGACATTCTCCATTTCTTCCAATTGCTCTGCACTCGTAACCCTTTCCTCTTTTATTCATCATTGCTTTACTTCATATACTATGCTGTAATGCTATAACCTTTGACATCTAACACATTTTATCCTAATCATTAACTCGTTTCTACCCTTTATGTCACAATACTTAACCATTGTGTAATGTGGCCTTTGATGCCTAGCACATTTATTTGTTTTCAACCAATGACAGTTAGGCAAAGGTGGTGATAATTTCAAGCGGTTGGTGGGCACAGGGGCAAGTTGTGGTAATAATTGTAGTTTTAGTAAGTAATAAGTAAGGAGAGTAGGGTGGGGGGGTATGCCCTACTTTAGATCTGCCACTGGGAGGGTGTCATAGGAGAGCACTCTCTCTGAAAATTGTATCTGAATGCTAAACATGTTGCAAAACCTCACTAGCATTGCAGACAGCAGTTCATTCAGTTATTTTTTTAATCCATTCAAGTTTTAGATTAGGCTGTCTTCGTTGTTAGTGTTACCATTCTGTTTGTTTTGTTTTTATTTTTTTTGTTTTTTGTTTGTTTTTTTTTGTGCCTGTAGGAGCATTTTTCAGTTTTTGAATAATGAGGGAAGAAAACACAGGAGCGGTAGATATTGTGTATTTTTACAATAAACTAACGTTGTAAAATCTTCTCGATATGTTGTCATATTTAACCCAATCGGCATGCATGGTAAGAAAACATGCCATGCCCGCTGTAATATAAGTTTATTGATTGCATTTACACATAGATGGCTCTGCAAGTGCTTAGTCACCAAGGAGTCAGGTATTAGTCGTACATATCTCACCTGTTTACCCTTTTCCTTGACTTTCTGTAAGAGTACTTTGTATTATTTCATTGCCTCAAATATTACCAATATTTTAATAACAATTTAATAATCATAACATCAGTAACAATAATAACATTATCGACATTAATTGTATTAAAAAGAAAAACCCATTTTCCCGCCAATTCAAGGAATGGGGAAATCAGGATCGGTCACTAGGGCCTACTGACAGACTCCTTGCCAGCTGAGCGCACGAGGAGCCATCTGTGCGTAACAAAATTCACACAAAACAACAGGGGACAGAACATCAATTTTTGGTGGTTGGGTTAAGGTTGTCAGATCATGACGGAGAGAGAAAGAGAGAGAGAGAGAGTGAGAACAAGCAAGTGCTGTGTAGTTATTTGCTTGTTTATTGACTTATTTATGGGGTGGATTGTAAATGCTCTTATTGGAATAGTGCTTTATATTTGTTTTAGTGTCTAGGTTAGACCTATTTATGTCTCATAGGAAATGTCAAAGTCAAAATATTCTTTCCATGTATTATTTATATATATATATATATATATATATATATATATATATATATATATATATATATATATATATATATATATATATATATATATATATATATATATATATAATATATATATATATATATATATATATATATATATAATTTGATATAAATATATTAAAATATGTGTGTATATATATGTGTATAAATACATATATATATATATATATATATATATATATATATATATATATATATATATATATATATATATAGATGGATGGATAGATATATTAATATATATGTTATATATATATTTGGCTTAATTTTGTAGGAATTTACTGAAAAATTTGTAATGCCATCTTATTGCATTCCTGATTTCTTTCCCAGATTTCACCATGGAGGCGATAGCAAAACATGACTTTAACGCCACAGCTGAGGATGAGCTCAGTTTTAGGAAAGGGCAGATTCTTAAGGTAAATATCTC